GGGCCCTCCTGGTAAAGGTGCTCTCCCGGGCCCTCCTGGTAAAGGTGCCCTCCCTTGCCCTCGCTGGCCCTCCCTGGCCCCTCCTTCACCAAGTCACCATCAGGGACTTCTGCTGCAGCAGCCACTCAACAAGTTTAGGAACTAAGAGGAGATTCGTAGGCGCAGGAGCCAAGCCTTGTTTATGTCCCCAACGTCAAGGCCAGTGCCTGGCTTGGAGGGGACCCCAAAGTTTGTCAAATGGATGAGCAAATAAAAACCCAGACAGCGAAGATTCCACCTTAGCACCGGCCAACAGGGAGAGAGGCACATCTTTCCCTGGATCTGCTGGGTACAGCGGGGCGGGAGGACACTTGGGAGCGTCTGCGACGTGAGCGTGCCCCCCCTCCCTTCCCATCGCTCGTGCCTAATTCCCTACCAAATCTCACAATTAAAAATTAAAACTTGCCACTTTCTTCTCTTCTTACCAGCTTGATTCTATCTTCACAACGCAGGAGGTTGATCATTACTTGAAGGTGTTGGGGCAAGTCACCTGTTGAATCAAGAGGGAAACTTTAAAAGCTCTCCCACCTTTCAAAATCGGCAGAAACCTACGCGAGGCTGCTTCTAAGGCTCCGCTTCTCAGCACTTGGCCCCTCTCGGCTGGCCTCCCCCAGAGGCCACGGCAGAGCTGGCTCTGGCCTGGCTGGGGTAGCCAATGCTCCCTTTCCCCTGCTTTGTGACTCCCATGTCGGGTCACCAACATGAGACCGCCACGGCCGGCCTGCGTCCGCCCGGGCCCCGCCAGCCTTGTTCTGAGCCACAGAGGCAAAAACAATCCTCTTTGTCTGCTGAGTGCCTGAGTGAAAGGGACCTTCTCCACACAGACGCCTTTCAGTGGGCTCGTCTGTAGAGTGGAACTGCTGACAGACAGAAATCCCAAGCCCTGTCTGCCATGCACACAAGGTCGCTCTGTGCTGAAACGTTCACTAAGCATTTACAGAAAACACAGACCACGCAGGCCTAAAGGACAAGCCCTAGAGAGAACGTGAGGACGGGGCTGGCTGGATCTGGGCTACCACAGAGTCCTCCTCAAGGACAGGACAGGACCGACAGGGAAGAAAGGAGCGTCTAGAGTCACACCCGAGCCCGGGCTGGGGGTCTGAGCAGCGTCCTTGCGTGGCTGGGCACCGGCCACCCCCGGGGCTGCCAGACAGTTGCAGAGCAGGAGTAGAAGCGGGCTGGCCAGGGCCCCGTCCTGCCAGGGCCCCGTCCTGCCAGCCCTCAGAGATGCACAGGCCAGTCTAGACCAGTCTGGCCTCGGGTTTCCACAAGAGGGTTTGCACTTGCTTCCCCAAGATCACTCACAGGGTAAAAGTAGTCTTTGAACTAGAGGAAGGAGACATGTGATCCGTGGTGAGCAAAGCCTGAGCATTCGTCTTGGATGTGCTCCGGTGAGGACGTCGGCCATGGTTTAGCGCCTAACGGGGCGGCGCTGGGAGCAAATTTGAGAGTGTTTATGGCTGTACTTGACGTCACTGTGCTACGGACGGCAGCCGCCACACAGGGAGCAGCAAGGAAGCACACGACAGCGCAGACTTTAAGGCCCACCTCCTCCAGGGGACGGGTGGCTGACGGGCAGCGTGGGGGGCCGGAGGCTCAGCGCTGGCCCCGGCCCTCGGGGAGCCCCAGTCCCGCGCCCAGAAGCCAGGTCCCTGCCGCCCAAGCAAGCAGTCTTCCGGTAAGCCCCACTGCCTCCGGGGGCAAGGCGAGTGTTTTCTGAGCTGAAAGCAGACCTAAATGTTTACGTACATGTCAGAATGAGGAAAGAGACCGAGTGGTGATTGCTGTCAATGTGACAACACAGGCGTCTGCCCTGGGCGCTCAGGATGAACATGAGGCTGGGGACTTGAGGGGAGACCAACCAAAGGACCAGAGCGGCGGAGGCCGGGCCCGGCTGCAGCCCGCTTCACCTGCCGCCCCACGAGGGGAGCCACCGCAGGTCCCCCCGAGAAGTGAAGCAGAGATTCACTTCACGCAAATGATTTTCTGAATTCCTCTTTTCAAACTGCCTTTGGTTTCAATGTCAAGTGACCTAAGAAAACCAGCCCCATTGCAGGCCTTTCTCAGCTGTCTGGTTCTGGGCCTCCAGGTTTGATCCCTACCTCACCACCCCTGCGACTTCCCCAAACCAAAGCCACCAGTGAAGAGTCAACACCCCTGCTTTCACGCCAAAGGTTCCTATAGAAACTCCCCAAGGAGCAGAGGAGTGGCAGGGTCTCCAGGGTCCCCAGACAGGCAGGCAACACCCCAAAGGGGTCATTTTCAAGGGGACAACACCCGGCTATCATCAGACACATTCTGGTGCCGTGTCTAAAAGACAGCCACTAACCATCTGCGGCTCACTGGCCACCCAAAAAGAATGCCCCTCATTTCCTATGGAGACCCGTGTGCTCACCAGAACAGCGCCCCAGTGCCACTGGAGGCGTGAGGCCCGCCCGCCTGCCTGAGGCAGCAGCGTGATCCGCGCCAGTGGTCGCCAAGCCCGCCCAGCTCCACTTCCCCGGCCTTGAAAGCAGCACCCTGCTACCCCCGGCAACGGGAGGTGCCTTGGTTACACAGAAAGCAAGTTCCGGTATGAGAAACGTGGATTTACCTGCATGTTTGTGGGGGTGTTGCAGACTCCGCTGGCCTTGAGGGCTGTTTCCCTGCTGTAAGAAGAGGGCTGCTCCTTTCACCATGAAAAAGCTCTCACTTAAGCTGGGAAGGACAAAACCAGAGAGTTAGGCGGGAAACAGACTGGGAACTGCAGGACAGCGATGCACCGGGAGCCACACCTCCCCTGCCACACCGTCCCGTCGTGGGGCTCTCCCCAGCCCTGGCACGAGCTCACTGCCAGAGCCGGCGTGGTGAAACAACGCTTCTGCTCCGACACTCCGACACCCTGGGCTCTACGGGCGCTCCGGAGCCAGGAGGCCCTTCCTGTGGGGCCCTGTAAAGGGCTTCGCTGTGATACAACATCCTCTAAAAACAGACAAGTGTGCGAGGGCGCGTGAGTCACCCTTGGTTGTGGCTCAGACTCCCTGGCCGTTAGCGGCGTCACGCCCCCTAGCCTCCCTCGGTGTCACCCCAGGGAAGGTGCTTTCGCTCATGTCCACCATCTCCAGGAAAGCAGGCGGCTGCTGACCCGTCACGCGACGTCACCGGGGTCGCTGTGCCCACAACCGCTCCTGGAACCGTCCCGTGGACCCGACGAGGTCTCAGTACAAGGAATCTTGGTGGGATTTTCCTTTGGGTTGTTATTTTAACTAACAATTACATCCGCATTCAACCTAAACATTGCTTCCAGTGATAACTGAAGATCTGGCTCTCAAAAAGATCTTTTGCTTATCCAGAAATTAACACTACTGAAAAGGAAACCCTCAGATATTAATGCTGCCGCGCATTCAGGAGCACCAGCAGGCTAAGGATCTTCCATGACATACACCCAGGTTATGATGACTGGGTTTTATTTTCTTTGGGGGGGGGCACCACATGTGATCATTTTCTTTATATTTCTTAGTATCTCTCAAACTTCTCTACTGAGCAAATATGAATTTTTAAGTGACCATTTTTGTTTGATTTCCAAACCACCACAAAACATCCATGTTATGAAGGGAAAATTTATTTCTATTAATTTGGGGAAAGAAGATCATAGTTCAAATTATACACCACTAACCCTCTCTTGAGCACCCAATTAACCCATGAAAACTTTAAAAAGAAAACTCTCTAAGAAAAAGCCACACTTTTTCTCCTGTTTAACAGAAAGCAAATCAACTCCTGAAATACAAGGATGTCTTCTGTAATATGAAAAAAAAAAAAAAGATCACCTTTGCCTCAGACGCCTAATACAAGAAGTTAAACATTCTCATGCAGGAGTAAAACATTCAGGAGTCTATGAGCTGATTTTAGGAGCTGAGAAATGTACCAAGAAATTCACATCTAAGTCAACAGCTCCAGAAATCAGCAAAATGATCTTTTTCTATATCATTAAATCCACTTTGCAATCTGTTCATTTTTCTGGCGGATTCTCACGCTAAAAACAGTGACTGCTCAGTAGCCAAAGTTCTCGCCCGAGTTCTGCCTCTGATTCTGGACTCTGAGACACGGACAGCTGGCTTTGTGTTTCATAATACCGAAACTTTACACCTCCTGGCCCTTCCAGGCCAGTGGGCTGCCAACCTCTCCATATTAGTCATGTATCTGTGCGTCAAGTTTCAAGCACTAAGGAGCCAGGATTACTACTAGTGGAGGAAATGAGAAGCCTCTCCTCTCTGCAATCTCTCACCTGCCGGAGACAGAGAGCTCTTTAGCACCCATGCGAGCAGTTAAATCTCAGGGCATCGTATGCCAGCTGGATGCAGGGTCACCCAACATTTTTCTACCCCTGACACTTGTCATCTTGTCTTTCCTTAAAGTTTATGACTAAGTTTGTTTTCAGAACCATGCAGTTTTAGATAGACACAGATCACTTTCTACTTATTCTCATCAAAACCTGAAAGAGTCGCCAAGGGACTCCAAGACCCGTGAAACATATACGTGCAATCAGACGGTCCAAACTGCTGGCGAAATTTCTGCGAGGCAACATCAACCTCTTTTGTTTGTGAGTTATTAAAAAAAAGAAAGAAAGAAAAAGTCCATGCAATAGAAACCCCCGTGCTCTGGAAACATCCAGCCATGAACGATGACCTTTGCCTTGGAAATCAGGGGCAGAAATTCCCTTGTTTTCCCTTACATTTCCTCTGGAAATTTTTTTTTTTAAAAAAGGAACAATGCAAAGGAACGGGCCGCTCAACAAGGCTGCTTGTTCCTCTGTGTCTCTGCGGCTGACAGAGAGTCAGAGCTCCCAGCTGCATGTACAGTCTGGGTGCTGCACCAGCGGGGGCCCAGGACACTTCACCTCTGTTCTCAGGGTGGCCAGCAGCAGCAGCCCACTGTAAGCAGCACAGGGCTGGACGCCACAGGGGAGCCGGGCGCCGCAGGATAACCACACTGGAGGACTTGGGGCCGAAAGGATTTATGAAATCCTCGTGACCCCATTTCCCGTCTTCTGTTCTGCACTCCCTGCAAGCCCTGGGCCTCATGGTCCCTGGTGAGGGCAGCTTCCTGCTGCTGGGGCTCCGGGAGGCCCCCACACCAGCCTCTCATGCTGCCGCGGGGGCTGGCGGGGAGGAGGTCCTGCGCGAAATCCTTGTTGGTGCTGGACATTCCGACCCTGAGAACCGAATTGTGCAAAACCACACATCGCCCTTCCCAGCTTTCTCCCAGATGACAGTCAAGACGGAGTCCTCAAAAGAGTTGAAGTCACAGGAGGTCAGACTCAGACCAAAAAACTGAAAAGATTTCCTCGGTGGCCTTAAGGAAAATCTTGGGCGATGGAAGGTGAGGCGCAAGATTAAAAGCAAGTTCCCTCCTCCCACCCTCAAGGCCTCCACGGGACAAGCATGTTCTCAGACACTGGTTCCTGCCGTTTGAGAAGATGGCACAGATTAAAGCTTCTACAAGGCATTGAAGACTGACAGAAACCTCAATCGATGCTCTCGACATACCCCAGCCCTCGAGTCTAACAGCAGTGTCATTCTGAAGCCGACACAGGGCTGGAAAACAGAAATCAGAGGTGGCGATACGTACTAATCTGGGCTGGAAGCCTCTGGACAGCTGAAGTAGTGAGTTGGCTGCAGGGAGATGCAGAAGTCAGTGAAGTAACAAAGGCTCATGACGGCCCCTCACATCTGGAGCCCCGCGCAGGCCGGGCGCCGGGGAGCAGCGGGTCCGGGGAGAGGCTGGAGTCTTGGAGAGGAGCCTCCTGGTCGGATGGTTCCACCCTGAGCGCAAAGAGCTCTGGTGGAATTCTTGTCTTCCCCTGATATTTGGGTTTACAAAGGCCCTTGTCCCCGCATCTCCTGATGAAAGACGGCCATTCAGGGGAGCAGAACAGCTGAAGTTCCTCTAACCACTTTACTCCTACGGCTGTTTTCTGTAGGCCCCAGGAACAAGCAACGGGGTGTGTGTTAGAAGTGGGGAGGGAAAACAGCTGGCGGCCGGGCCCAAGTGCCACGCGGCTGGGAGCCCCTCTTGGTGGCGTCCACGTATTGAAGGGCTTCTGTTTCTTTCGGATCTCCGTCCATTCACTCCACGGTGACCGTGGGCAGCTGTCACAGTTACTCAGCATTTTCAGAGCCTTTTTACATTCTAAAAATTCTTTAGTCCTGCTAATCGCTATCTGGAGGGGGGAACCCAGCTAGAGGGATCAGCATGTGCACGTGTGGGAGGAGCTTCGGGGTGCTACCCTGACAGGGGCGAGGGAGGTGAGGCAGCCCCAACACCCACTGGCCGGAGCCAGCCAGCGGGGAGCTCTGCTTTCACTCCTCTCAAACAATGAAATAACCCTCAAGCCAGGAACAACCAAAATGCAGGCCAGGGTGGGAGAGTGTCCTAGAAAGGAGCCAAGAGAGGAAAGGGCCCCCAGCAGGAGGCTCTGAAACACCTGGTGGGGGAGGCGTCATCCACAAGGCTTCCCCAGTTCTCAGAGGATCGATGCCCCCTCAGAAAAGAACTGAGACTACAACTGTTCTTGCTTTGCGGTTGAGGAAACCACAGCTTGCCGGGGAGCACACTTCTCGACAAGATGGGACTGGCCCCACATTTCTGCCCCACACCCACCTTCCTAACTCCAGTAACGCCCGTCGTTTCTGCTGGTCTGGAGCCAAAGTCAGGGCTGAGACCCCGTGTCACCTCCGCCGTGCCTGCACCGAGGGCCTCCTGCAGCCTGGCCCGCTTCCAGGTAGGCGGTCGAGAAGTCCGGGCGGGGACAAGGTTTCAGGTCTGCTCCCAGCACCGTGTGTAGGAAAGAGAAGGTTCGATTCCTGGAGGCAGAACCTCAGGGAGAGAAGCGGAGTCCTTCTGCCGTGTCCGGCACTGTCAGTCTCGCTGTTAAGACACAGGACACACGGGCAAGTCCTTAGGGCTTAGTGGGAGCCCAGAGCGGCGTCAGGAGTGGCCGGCCAGGCTGGTGGAGAAGCTGCTTCTCACCCACGGTCTCTCGTCTGCTGAGCACCTGCCATGTGGCAGAGACTGTACCAGCCATTGAGCTGTGCCAGGGCGTCTAATTCCCACAGCACTGCAGGGTAGTCATTATTCCGCCGTGTGACTCAGGAGGAAACCAGCCAGGCTTCTGAAAGCATCTCCAGGGATGGCCTGGGCAGCCACGTTTTCAACACACCCCCTCAGGGATTCTGGTGCACTGTGAACTTTCCCAAAATACAGGCACTGGGGTGGGGTTCACACTTCCTGGGTCTAACTTACGTTCTACTCTATGGAAGTTCTGATATTCATTTGCAGGGCTCTGCTCATCCCAAATAACCAAATACGTGCAGACGCAGATAATGCCAAGCCCTGCCAAGCCTCGGCAGGCAGACCCCGGAGGCTCTGCTTTTGGGTGGTTTAGGGGTGGGTCATGCTACTTAGAAATACAATACCTTGAAGACTGGAAATACGGCGGGCAGAAACATCACAATACACAATATGTTAATATCTCTGATTTCCAATTCTGGCTGTCCATCTAAAGAAACATGAAACTTCTAGAATGGAGCCACGCTTGGGTCTAGGCTCAGCTGATTCTCCTCATTCGGAAGGTGCGTAACGAGTCCCGGGGATCTGCTTTTTTGAAAAATGTCCCGGTGGTGCTTCTGATGCAGAGCCAAGGCTAAGGCCAGGAGTTTCCTGGATTTAACCATAGTAGAAGACACAAAGAAAACTGACCTCGAAAAAAGACCTAACACACAGTAGGTACACAATAAAAGTTTTTTAATTGTGTCGTTTTTAAACTGAGGTAATGTTGGTGCGCATATGACTTGGGGCTCACGCCTCTTCGGGTGCATATTACCTCTCCATGCCCACACCGAACCACCGGCGACCCTCCAGGAAAGTCCACTAGGCCCCTGCCCCTCTGCTGCCACCCTTAAACCTCCCCTCCTGGCAGCCTCACTTCTAGTGAGGTTTCTAGGATTTGTTTTGGTTTAGCTTCGCCTGTTCCTTTGCTTTGTTTCTTTATATTCCACACGAGTGAAATCATCCGGTATTGGTCATGCTGCATCACCTGGTATTTGTCATTCTTGTGTCACTTAGCAAGGTTTCATCTTTTTTATAGCTGAGTAGTATTCCACTTTGGATAAATACCACATCTTCTTCATCCCTGGTTTGCTGCGTGGGCACTGAGGTTGTTTCCAGACTATCCACCGTAAATACTACTACTGCAGTGAACATGGGCGTGCAGGAGTCCTTCCCAGTTAGTCTCTGCCTTCTTGGGATGGACACTGAGGAGGCTCTGCTGGGCCATGCAGCAGACCTATTTTTAATCTTCTGAGAAACTCCATTCTGTTTCCCACTGGGCCGGGCCAGTCCACACGCCCTCCAACCATGCACCAGGCTGGCCCCTCACCTCCCATCACTTGCACAAGAAAATGTTTTCTGTTGGTGAACGCTAACACTAATAAAAATGTGAGGTCCCCACAGAAGTGGGGAGCACAATGAGGGGCCATGAAGGGAGGTCACACTAGGCCAGAAAACAATGTGACACTTCCCTAGGAGCAGAGACAGGTTAGTGGAAAACTGCAGGTTGCCTCTTCTGCCAAACACTGCCGCTCTCAGGGGCCCACAGCCCGGGTCACCACCCACACGGCAGCGGCAAGGGCAGGGCAGCCCTCTGCCGCGCGGCTGCCGACAAGGCAGAGTGCCTCCTGCCGACTCCACAACCCCTCCCGTTGGACTGAGTGGCACTGTGACGCTCACTGTGTCTGTTTTAGGATTTCTGTGCAGCACCATGCAAAAATTCAGACACTCCAAGCTAAAGTACTGAATCTGACAAGGGCCCCAAGTTGACTGGACTGGTTGACATGAACAGACCTACATTTATTTTAATTTTTCAAACAGACCTACTTTTATTTACTTTTTTTGGGAAAGGATTTATTTACTTGTGCATACAAGAACTGGGGTACAGACCAGAGGTGCGGGGGGGGGGGTGAGAGGATTCACCAGAGACGGAGTGGGGAGCAGAACAGGCAGATTAACTGAAATACACTGCTGAGGGGAGCAGCGGGTGAGAGAGGAGAAGTCTGCTGAGCCATGTGGGTCACCCCCTTGGCCAGGGGTGGAACTCAGGATGCAGTGGCTTACTGCAGACAGCCTCAGAGTGCTGCTCTTCAATCCCCTGCACCATCAGGGAGAGTCCCCAGGCCTACTTTTACATGGGTAGAATTAACACTGGATTGCACTCAGCTCTACAGGGTGATTACTAGGGACAGTAGTTCATCCAGTGGACTTGTTGATGATTCTAGAGAAGGGAAAATGAACGTAAAGCTGTTACCACTGAAGAAGGGGAATCAATGAGCTGTCCCAGGAGGAGGTTTCGTTAATTCCATTTGGAGGAATGGATATTCACTGCACCCCTATCATGCACAGTCAGTGCTAAGACTGTAGACTTCAAAATGAAACAGACACAGCTCCTGCCCTTGAACGACCTTAGTTTAGTGGCCAGACAGACATGGGACAGTAAAGCGCAGTGGGGTTCACGGCAGAGGGGTGGCCAGGGGGCTGCAGATGCACCCCCCCACACATACATGCACGTGGAAGGGACACGCAGCCCAGAGAGATTCCCTGGAGGAAACCTTGAAGGATCAGCAAATAAAGAGGGGGCTCGGGAGCAGGGAGATTGCATTATATGCACCCTACGGAGAGCAGGATTCAGCTTCTGTCTCAAAAGGCTCCACTGTGAATTCACAACCTTTTATCCTGCTTTATAAATCCATTTCCCATAAGTCTAGATAGCAGAAATTGGCTTCTCAGAAAGTGATCACCCCTGGGTGAACAAACAGATTCAGGTCTCAGAGCATGCAAAGCTTGATGAACCTCGGGCTCCTTCCTGGAGAAGCCATCAGCTGTCGCACAAGGTCTCATCAGCTGTCGCACAAGGTCTCAGCACCCGAATGCCCAGTACACAGCAGGCACTCAATGTGTGCTCTTTGAAATAAGTAAATGACACTTTTCACTTGAATGGTGCTTTATTGAGCACCTGACCCTACATTTTTTCTACTTTTTTTTTTAAACATTTATTTATTTGTACATACAGAACTGGGGTACAGGCCAGAGGCTCAGGGTGGTGAGAGGCTTCACCAGAGACAGAGTGGGGAGCAGAACAGGCAGATCGACAAAGTACACTGCTGAGGGGAGCAGCGGGAGGGTCAGGAGAGGTCTGCCACGCCATGTGGGTCACCTCTGGGGCGGGCGGGGATCGAACTCATGCGGAAGTGGCTTTAGCTTCTCAGTGCTGTGCTTTAACCACTGCGCCACCAGGGAGGGCCTTTTAAAGTTTTAATTGTTTTTATTTTAAAGATTTATTTATCTTTTTAAGCATACAGAACTGGGGTACAGGCCAGAGGTGCAGGGGCGGTAAGAGGATTCACCACCAGAGACAGAGTGGGGAGCAGGACAGGCAGATTGACAAAGTACACTGCTGAGGGGAGCAGCGGGTGGGTCAGGAGAGGTCTGCCGCACCATGTGGGTCACCTCTGGGGCTGGGGATCGAACTCACACTGAAGCGGCTGTGTCCTAACCCGTTGCACCACCAAGGAGGGCCCTTTCCGCTTACTTTTTAACAATTTCATTCTGATGAAAGAAGACAGAGAAGAGAAGTGGATTATCCATAGTTATAGGACCAAGAAGGGGCAGAACTGGACTGAGACTTCAATTTGCACCTGTATACAGAATGCTCCCCCAGAGGGTGGGGTGGTGTGACCTGCGGC